GGCAGTACCTACTGAGTTCATAATTCCTCTTGGTACTTTCTAACTAGTAATCTTGACGATACTCGCCGCGAACCCTCAAATCCGATTTTGAATACCACTTTAATGGCGGCCCCAACTCAGGTTCTCCACTCTTCCAATCGTGAGGCTTCGAGGACTCAGCTAACTGTAGGTTCTTGTACGCTCCTCAGATGGTTAAGCGTTTGCAAGTTGAAAGTCTCAGTTTTTTTATTAAAACGCTTTAATGCCCTAGGTACTACTAACGAACAGTGAAAACTGTTTAGCAGGTTTTCTTTTTTAGGCTTCTACACCGCTCTCAGTGCATTGTCAAGACGAAATTGAGCCGCCTATCAAAAAGGCAAGCCGAAATGACTTCTACCCTATCCCTTAAGAGTTGCGTTTGTGAAATGTGCATATTAAAATTGCAAAGCAATATCGTCAACTGTAGGATACTCGGCAATTAGCGGTTTCGAAAACTGTCCGTGCAAGAGGCTTGGACATCGGTTTCTAGGGGTCGCGTCTTATTATTAAACGTACACTTTACATGCTAGGCGCGTTCGGTTCTCTTCTCTTGTCTGAGTGGTGGAAATGTCGACAACTTCTTCCGCAACCCGCCTCCTGCCCAGGAGCCTGAGAGCCTGTGTGATGACTCCCAAGCGGATGATTCGGCAGGAGACTGTGTTGATGTCGTTGATGGGGGCAGCAGCAACACTACGACCTGTGGTCGGCTCATTGCTCCTCGCACCAATGTCAAAGTGGCTGCCACCTCAGGTTGGTGCAGGGCCGACGATATGTGTGAGCCAACACCTGGACCATCTAGTCCCACTCTCCTCGTTGCCGATTCGGATGAAGAAACCTGATTCAATTTGGCATTTGTAGTTTCCAACGTCAGCGCATACATACCTTACAAAGAATGCCATGGTGGTCTTGTATTCCCATAAATACGAGATTTAAATAAAATTTGTTTCGGGGGGATCACATCAAGCTAACAAATTAAAACTGCAACCTATTTAAACCTCTTTTTGGGGTGGAACAGTGTTTGGTGGTCGGATTTAAATGGTATTGAGTAGAGAAAGTTGTACAAAATTTTAGATGTATTAATCCTTCACACAAATCCAACTTCGATCTTCTGAATCTTGTCGTGAGGCGACATCATTTCTGAGGGTACGAAGTTAGCGGGCAAGGGGGTTATGTCCTCCGGCTTTCTGCCTTGGTAGTGATTCCACACCAGTCCGACGACATCTGCGGCTAACACTTCACCTGCATTGATCGCCAACATCCTAACCAGAAATACTCCGTCTTGTCGGAGATAATCATCAACGAAATTTTCCAGTTGGGTTTTCCTACTTCTTGGTCCGGTGGGTCGTTTCGCTTCCTCACCGATTTTGCATACCCTTAGAAATCTGGCGATATATCGGTATCTACGGAAGGGACTGGTGATGCGAATAATCCAGAGAAATAGACTGAGGAGGCTGGTTATAAGAAGGAAAAGAATCCAGAACCAGAGAAAGATATAAATCTTTTCGTTGAGCATATTGATGGGGAGGGTACACTGCGCAGTATAGGCGTTCTCACCGCCTACTAGTCGAATGCTTGGTACGCGACAGTAGGCCACGCGAGGGAATAGCAGGGTCTCAGGCCATTCCTGACCTGAGCGAATGTAACTTGCTATGGCCCAACCAAAAGAATAGCCGTGCTCGCCTTTTCCTAATGCCAAAATTGAAGCTAGATTTACTACTGGCGCTTTATAAAGTAGATAAAACAATCTGCTTGTGCCACGTATAAAACCAATTTCCTATCTGTGCAGTAGGCTAAAACTGCGGCCACTTCCCAATGTTTGTAGAGTTGGAAAGTGCATTTGAAGTTTGTAGGGTTTATGCAAGCTTCAATAGGCGACTACCAATATCTGAAATACCACTCAAATGTGACAGGTTTTAAATATACTACTAACCTGATTTTAGTGTCAAAGCTAGACTCAATCTAAGCAAATTGTTGTATTGCATCAGGGACAAAACGGAAGAAGCATCTGCCGTAAGTCCTATCTAGGTGAAGACTATAGCAAGCACTCAGAACGGTTATTAATGCCATCAAGATGAGCTCAATTACTAAGCCCTTCACAATTTGGTTAGGACCCCTACATTTACGGGTCACAACTTGCATATGCTGGTTTTGAGGACCTAGCTTCACATTCAGTAAGGTCAAGCTAATTCCTTTTTTACGTATTACCGTCATTTCAACTTCGCCAAAAGGAAAGTGAGTTAAAAAGTTAAGCTACTTTTAAGGCTTCGAAGATGGTGGGTAGGAAGTTAATTTGGCATTATCTTCAAAGTTGAAATATACGTACCGAAACGTGGTTCTCAATCATTTTGTCACTTAAGGATGAATGCTAGGATCATTGGCCTAATGACCACCAATTCTCCTTTTTTTCATTCACATTAAATTGCTATTTTTCTAACAATGCCTAATCTGAACTCTAAAATGGGCTTTGATGTCGCTCACTCGGTGGGATTTTGTTGGAAATACTTATCTAGGCAAACGAAACTTTAGGAATTGCTGATGTTTGCAATCATTTTTGTATTAAAATAGGAACGAAGTGCACGCTGGCTTTTTTGAAGAATTTATCCAATGCTCAGTAACTGAAAATCATGCATATTAATTACTAATAAAATCCATAAGTCGTAGGAGTAGTTGTAAATGAAGTTGCACTTGGCAACGGTTGGCTAGTCGTATTTGTCTTTCCACGGATTCAATCCCTTTGAACGATTGTTTGGTTGATATGGTCTTGCTTAAGGCTTCTAGACCACAAAGCCCTTCAACTAGACCTCATATTTGTATAAACGTCTGACTTACACGGTATTCCTATCATTTTACAGCGAAAAATAGCTTACCAGAAGATTGCTGCATTGTCTCCTGAAGTAGTGGATCAACGGGTACTGGCTTAATGTAGTGTCCAGTGAAACCGAGGAATATTTGGATAAGGTGTAATTGCAGGGCCGCATTTAATATGATGACTACTTTGAGAGCGATGTACGACCACACGAGGCAGGTTCCCATGCGCTTACTCACCACACAGAGCCCGCAGGTGTCGTACATCTTGTCCACCAACTTGGCTTTGCGGCCCTTGAAGAGTTAGAAGAATGAATCACTTTGAGCTGGGTCTCTTGATACTGCACCTCAAATATGTATACAAAAAATAATGAAGCCGCACGCACATATTTCGAATTAAAACAAGTAAGTACAGCTAGTAGAAGAAGTGCAAGAGAATTTGTGTACTCATGAAATAATAAACAGCTTGACGGACATCAGGTAGTCACCTATCTATGCGCGGGCACACAAACAGTAGTGTCCTCATAAGGCCGAAATTGTACCTAGTCCTAAGGTGTTCATTTAACACCCATAAATTATGGTGAGAGCAATCTTGTGCTTTAAATCCGGAGGCATGGTAACAAAAGACTAAGCGAGATCACTTGTACGAGAGCGTAGTGTTCCTTTATTTTGGATTTAGAAATTTTGGGACAGTGCACCTTTTTATAGCAGAGAACCTACTCGTCTTGAACATTGATGAGCATCAATCATGTCCTCCAGGAATTCTGCTACTCGATGGACCTCCCTCTTCCGATCACTGCGACCACCAGATGCAGCCTTCCTGGCCGCCTCAATCAATGTAAAGACGTCGCCACTGGCTCGGGAGATGCATACCATCTCCCAAAGGAGGTGCGGGAGATAGAAGATTATGCATTGGAGACCCAACACAAACGGCACCCACTGGTAGTAGGCTTGAAGTAAGATTATTCTGGACATTCAGAAAGCCGTGGACATTCCGACAGTCTCGGAAGCTCAGATGCTAGCTTACTTAGGCCGTTCAAATATGCGAGCAAAGCTTGAGGCTTATAGGAGTGCGAAATTCATGAAGCCATTGTTTTGGAAAATGGATGCCGGGTGAGTTTTGTCATCTACTTATACAACACATTCCTAATT